ACATCATGTCCCACAGGAAGCCTTTCCCCAACCCGAGTCAGGAGCCCCTGCTAGTGTCCTCCTCGCACCTCCCTGCCACTGTCCTTTACTGGCCTCACTCACCCAAGGACAAAAAGCGTGCATCCTATTCACTGGTGTACCCTAGTGCCTTGCGTGTGCCTGGCCCTGAGAGGGCACGCTGTAAATCTTTGTTGGATACATGAAGGAACCCTCTTGCTCTTGGAGCTGAAGCCATTCCCGGGGCCCTCAGGAGGAGAGCAGAGGCAGGTGAGACATGTGCTCCTTCCAGGGCATTCTAGTGTCTACATTCGCAGACAAGTCCCAGTTATGCCCTCTGACCTAAGTCTCAGGGCTCTCCTTGCCCAGCACCTCTTAGGGCAATGGGCCCATGTCCTAAAGATTTTAGCACTGGGGGCACCTGTTCCTTCAGAACTTAACATCCTTGATAAATATTCACTATCACGTGATCACAAACGTGAGACCAACACACTAAGCCGGCCTCAGTGGTCTAAGGAAGACATTGGGTTGGGGGAGGGGGCTGGAGGTCCACCTTGCAGCCCTCCTGAGCCCAGCTGGGTGGACGTTCTAATGACCCACATGTCCATCCTGCCTCCTCTTATTTGAGGCTGGGGCAGGTGGCGTCATCCCTCTGGTGACGTGCAGAGACACAACCACACACGGTTACATTTTTGGACAACAGCTGGTGAGCATTTGCACCCACTCACACATACAACTGCACACAAGCACACACGCTCTTTGGTCTGGACATGGGTTTCGAGGTCCTAAGTTTCATGTCAGTGTGATGGGGTGGGGGGACGGGTGGACACCAGCACCCCTTCGTTCCATCTCCCCCAGCAGTGACCACCGTGCAGCTGACCATACTGAGTCAGCATGCATTGGAGGTTAAATTACTTAGGTCAGAGAAAGAGGAAGTACAAAGTCAGTGTCAGAGCCCACAGCTGGTCACGACATCCTTTTTCTCCTTGGTCTCTGTCTTTGATCATTCCTTGTCCTCAGTCTCCTTCTGTATTGTCACTCCTTTCACCCCAGGCAGGCAGTGCCACAAATTACCGCAGCTGTCACTGGCCCGCTCTCCTCACTGAAGTCTTCCTCCCTGTTGCTTGGAACCTAGTTTCTCTCCAGCTCACTGATGTGTCCCCATCCACTGTTTCATTGATCTTGAAGTGAACTTGGGCTTGGGGCAGCACAGAAGGTAGCAGAAGCTTCTGTGATGCCTGACCTCCCTAGATAGGATCTCCCTCTGGTCAGAGGCTGAGCGGAAGCCCAAACTGGTCTCCTGTACTTCACCTCCTGGCCTGGCCTGGGCTCCCAGCAGCCAGAGTCACTCCTTGCCATTGCTTCTCATTGTCCCCTCTTTGAAGAGAGACAGGGGGAAAATAAGAGAGAGTGAGAGAGAGAGAGACAAAGAGGGAGTGAGAGAGTGTGGCTGAAGTTTCCCGTTGTCATTGGGGACAGACAAATGAGAGAGTGCAAAGCAGTTACCAGAGACCACATCCATTTCTCTGGGTCTCAGAAACTTTACCAAATTGAGTCCCTGGATCCATACCTTCATTTACTTTACCCTCCACCTACCTTCACCCCTTCCTAAAAGACCTGTCAATTAAAAACAAAAAAAGCCAGGTCCTGTTTGGGTCCATTTTTTATTTATTTTGAATGGGTAACACCGTCACGTGGCTCACAATTCAAAATATACAAAAGGGTATTTAGTGTGCTAAGTCTCCTCCCTCCCCAGGTCCCACCTCCCAGTTCCCCTCCCCAAAAGTATCACTGGCATCATGTGAATATGCATATATAAGTGAATATGTTTTTATTTATTTTTTAAAGTTTATTTATTTTGAGAGAGAGACAGAGGGAGAGAGTGGGGGAAGGGCAGAGAGCGAGGGAGGGAGAGAGGATTCCAAGGAGGCTCTGCACTGACAGTGGGACTTGAACTCACAAACTGTGAGATCATGACCTGAGCTGAAATCAAGAGTCAGACGCTTAACCAAATGAACCACCCAGGGGCCCCCAAGTGAGTATGTGTTTATAGCTCCCTCCCTTCTACAACACAGAGGGGCGGTGCACCACATACACTTTGCCGTTTGCATTGGAAGATCATTCCCCTAGTAGTATATAAAGAGAGAGAATTCTTTTTATAACTGCATAGCACTGCACTGTAAGGCAGTACAAGAATTTAGTTAGCCAATCCCCTAGGAAAGGACATTTCTGTTGTTTCCAATCTCTCACTATCGGTGTACACGCCTCTCATCCAGGGCCCCCCTGAAGGACAGCGTGGTGGGAGCCACCCCTGCCCTCCGCCCAGCTCATCTGCATGGCCACAAGTGTTGGACACCTCTAGGTTGCTGGAATTCGAGGGTCTCACTGCTTCTCACCATTGGTGCCCACCAGCCTTCTATGTCTGTTGCCGCGGAGTAGAGGTCACTGGCCACATACACCCCTGGCAAAAACAACCACTCCTCATTACCACCGTACCCACAAATCCACCCCATAGGCTGACTTGAAATGTTGCTGTGTGGCCATCCTCTGCCAGAGACTGCGAGGCAGGTGAATACAAAGGGGTGGAGGGAACTTTCCCTGGGGAATCACAGCCTGCCGCAGGACTGGGGTGGGGACAAGTCCTAGTCCAGTATGTGACAGACACAGGGGGACAGACAGGGATTGTCCTCTCAGACTAGATGTCCCTTGCATTTTGAGACTTCCACAGGCATAGAGCCAGGGGAGGAGACCTAAGTTGAGAAACCAAGGCTAGGGGAACATCAGGACACAGTCCCCCCATCCCAGGGCTGAGAGGGAGATCCCAGGATATAAGAACAGGTAGGAAAGGAAGAGGGGACAGTAGGCAAAAGGAAGAAGGCGGGAGAGAAGAAGGAGGTCTTGGCTAAGAGGAACGTGGGTTGGGGCGCCTGGGTGGCTTAGTCGGTTAAGCATCCGACTTTCGCTTAGGTCATGATCTCGCGGTTCGTGGGTTCGAGCCTCGCGTCGGGCTCTGTGCTGACTGCCAGCTCAGAGCCTGGAGCCTGTGTCAGTCTGTGACTCCCTCTCTCTCTGACCCTCCCCTGCTCACGCTGTCTCTCTCTCCTAGAGATAAATTAAAAAAAAAATAATTAAAAAAAAAAAATAAGAGGAACGTGGGCTAAGGAACCCTTTCTAGCTTATCTATGCATGTGCAGGCCTAGCAGGAACCCTGCCTTGGGGCTTCTAGGGGACTGTCCCCAGTTCAGAAACACCACCCTCACCTCCAAAACAAGGGACCGAGGAGGCTCAAGAGAGACCTTGAGATGGGTGAAAAACACTTGGGAAAGCCAGAATTCAAAAACAACAACAACAAAA